CTGTAGTGCTGAAGGGGCCTCCTCTCTGAGTCACGGAGTGTTCTTTGTTCAGAGCTATAAACAATATTGCGATATTAAGATACACAGGTTAATTAAGAAAATATGGATATTATAGAGCGCGAAGGATATCTCGAGGTATGTTAACAGACTAGCAGAAGGCGACAGTAGAGTTAAAACTGGACAGATAGGTACTTCAATGCGCTTATAATCCTCAGCTTTTTTTATTAATTACGTATTCGGATAATGAAATGCAAAGAAATAAAAATAATTCAGTTGTGAAATACGATAAAAGGAAAGAAGCTTTTGCATACAAAAATGATTTAAGCACTTTACTACCTAGTGATGCAGTAATCTATTAAAATGACTTTGAAATCCTGGAATATGTTAGAGACGAGGCAGTTGGCTACTTTGTCACACTTTCGGCATAATGTTTGCTATATGAAAAATTCACACTGTAATATTATCCGATGCTGTTGGTCAAACAAATCGCATTTATTGGAATTTGAGAAAGGTTGTTTGCAGATTCTAACGGTTAAGGCGATGTTCAAATCTAGTCGTTACATTCTGGTCCAGCTAGGCGGTCATTTACAGTGTTTATAATAAAGTTCAACGTAGGAACTTTAAAAATATCTTTCGATCGTCGATGTACACTGCAAGTTTCCATGCAAGGCGGTATCCTCGCTGACCACCACTGCCACGATCCTGCATATCCTCCATCTTTTATTTTTCTCCCTCTCTCGATAGCGGTGATAAAATGTTCACTGGTCTCTTCAATGTCTGAATCTAACGTTCGAGCTGTTGTGGGAAAGTTAAGGCAAAACATGCCTAGAGGAACACCTTATGTATGAATGCAATGCGCCTTTGCGTCAGTGAATGGCGTGGTGAAAATCAAGAGACTATCTTGAATGTACAGAAGTAATCAATATCATCAAATTGACTATTTTACACCGTCAGTGTCAAATTGGACCAGAAAAAAACAGTTTAAATATGGCTGCCTATCCTACCTATCTGTCAAATGTTTCTTGGTCTAATTTACCGTTAAGAAGTTATGTTTTTCTTGAGTAAAAAGTTAAGAATAAAAAGTTAAAACATTTTCAAGTGGAATAAGTTAGAAAAAGCCTAAAGTTGATCATTAATACAGATTCCCTCCAATCTTCTGGATGCATAGTGCTTTATGAGGAACTCTAAGGAGAAACGAAAATCTAATCTGTGAAGCAGTTATTACCTGGTGTTAAAAATGTAAGCAGATATGGCTTCATAATTATTATTTCGTAATATAAAATACTAAGGCATAATAAGTAGATATGCACTAAAAAGGGCCCTCCAGTCACGTAAGGTTATATGATTTCCGTGCCTTAAGATTTTATTCAAACATGTGCAGTATGTGTTTCCTTCGCATATAGTTTGTTACGTGGGCTGGAACAAACTGGATAATCTGTAAAAAGTGGGGTTCTTACCTCCCCTCAGAAGGCACTTTCGGAAACTTACCTAAAGAAAATTTGCAATATGAATATGAAGAAAAGTTTAAAAGAAAAGAAGAGAAGAAAAGAAAAGAAACAAATGCGTTAGTGTTGAGTTTTTGTGGACATCGAGAGAGCATTTGATCAGGTAAAAAGCGAGAAAGATACCGTTATGGCCCAGAACATCAAAATAATGTAAAGGATGCAATGATCGTCAGAAATATATACTAGTGGTCAACTGACGATGATACATCCGGCCGAAAATGACCATAAAAAAACAAAAGAATTGAACTAGAAAAAAGCGACTTTTGGTAGGATGACAAAGTGCAAACATGGACTCGGGGACACCAGAGCAAGAGCACAAAGACTGAAATAAAGGGACTGTATCAGGGAAAAGGCAGACGCAGTAATATCGAACTGTACACTCGGGACTTTTTTTTTTTTTATATCGAGGTAAAGATACAGTTAACAGGTTAATGAACACAATAATTGGTAGATGTTTATTTGTGATGATATTCACTTGAAATATACAATGATACGCGGACAAGTTACATTCAGTCAATCATCTCGATAGTATCAATTGCATCTTCGCTTGAATAAAATAGAAACAAGGGAGAGAAAGATAAAAAAAGGAAAAAGATATAATGGAGACGACAAAGAGGAGAGAGCGGTGGTGCTCCATGGCCAACAACACTGACAAGCACTTCGGTAAGATTAGGTAATTCTAAACTCCGAGCTAATCTGCCGAGACTCGTTAACAAGGGCTAAGCAGTGGTATGGCTTCTTTAATACCTCCGCTCAAGGGGGGAGGTTATGTTTTCGATTGTGTTTATTGTTCATTTGTTTGGCTTCTCTGTTCTTTAGCTTGTCGGGAAACTTAAACAAAAAAGATGGATTTTAATAAAAGTCTATTGGTGATTTTGCCATGCGCCCAAAGACCTGTTGATGAGATTTTGCTGACGAGTTAGATCTGCTTTTGGGTCTAGGATTTAATGAAAGGATCCATTGTCAATGCGACCTGTGTCAGAATAATGGTCAAG